GTTACTTGGGAGAAGAGACTGACACCCACCTCGCTACAACCTCCTTTCAGGGAGTTGTAGAGAGCGATGAGGTCTCCCCTCAGCCTCCTTTTCTCCAGGCTAAACAACCCCAGTTCCCTCAGCCGCTCCTCATAAGACTTGTTCTCCAGACCCCTCACCAGCCTCGTTGCCCTTCTCTGGACACGCTCCAGCACCTCAACGTCCTTCTTGTAGTGAGGGGCCCAAAACTGAACACAGTATTCGAGGTGCGGCCTCACCAGTGCTGAGTACAGGGGCACGATCACTTCCCTACTCCTGCTGGCCACACTATTTGTACCTAAGCGCCACATCTACACGTCTTTTAAATACCTCCAGGGATGGTGACTCAACCACTCCCCTGGGCAGTCTGTTCCAATGCTTGACAACCCTTTCGGTGAAGAAATTTTTCCTAATACCCAATCTAAACCTCCCTTGGTGCAACTTGAGGCCGTTTCCTCTCATCCTGTCGCTTGTTACTCGGGAAGAGAGACTGACACCCACCTTGCTACAACCTCCTTTCCTGCCAGAGGAGCCTGCAACACCTGACAGCCAGTTCTGGGGATACCCTAGTTTACAGGAAAGATTGAAATGGCTAAATCTGATGAGTGCAGGCTGCCCCCTCTTTGAGATAATCCTCAAATGAGTGCAAGGATTTGGCAGTATGTAAATGGCACTGTGAAGCTGGTACATGAACAAACTGGCACAGCAGAACCTTGAAAGGAGACTGGAAATGGACTTGGAAGTGATCCTTGCTCTGTACGCACCTAAGCCAAGGTCAACGCGCAGTAACTCTAAACACAAAAGCACAGGCAGGCTCTGATCTCTGCCTGCCTAATGCCAGATGTACACTACCACAATTGATGGTGTTAACTTCAGGCTTACACGCATCTCCAGAAAGCCAGGATGTGGTCCAAAGGGTTTACAGTGGGGTGAGCAAGAGCAAGCTCTGGGCTTGCGGGCTTTCGGCAGTGTATTTGCTGAGCTGGGACTAGTTCCTGTTCACCGTCTGTCAATTTTAATGAAAGTCACGTATCTAAAGCTAGGAACAGGAAAGCTGTGTGGAATCCAAGGTTTTGCAAGTGTACTGAACAATAACAACATGCACTAGGGATGCACTAGGGATGAAATCCACCCTGAAAACTAGGGCTGCCAGGAGAAGCAGCCGTCTTTAAGCTCTGAGCTCTTTTCCGAGCAGGGCCGTATCCTGCTGTCTGTTACCAGGATGCCTATTCCAAATAATGCTGCATTTATCTTAGCTGACAAACATCTACCAGAGCTGGTGACATAAAGGCCCATGTCTACTGAGACAAGAACGTAATTCAGGCAACAAAATAACCTGTATCTAAGATGCATGTCAGGCACAAGCTGGCTGGGAAAAGGCCACACGAGGTGAAAACCTGGGTCTGTAGGACAAGTTTGGTGTTCTTTGGGTGCACGGAAGGAATATAACTTACATGTAGAGCTCCAGTTCTAGGCACTGCTCAAACCCTTTTATCACCGCAAACAGTTTGACCAGCCCTCAGAAACATCCTGTGTGCATGAAGCGCTTACAGGGAGTAGACATGGTGTCAGACCCCTTCATAACCCGCTCACTGTGGGGTGGAGTGGGAAGGGATAGGGTAAAAGCTCTCTGGGCTGCAGCTGGTCACAGGGGCTAACACCAGCTCTTTAGGGATGCTCTAGTGTATGTTAGCAGCCAGGACAGGTGGCCAAAATCCCCAAGCAGCCTGTATAGCTCTGGACATGGCCCGATGGCAGAGAGGGACAGGGAACCCAGTAGCCGTGGGGAACTGCAGTAGCTGATATATTTTCCTTCTCCCCACTACAACTTCCTCTGACCCATTCCTGCCAGCCTCAAAGTTAAGGTCCACTTACCATGTCCTGCTTCAGTGAAACAACACCTCATCACTTTCTGAGCACCCACATATGCCTGTGTCAAGGTCACCGCTGTATATGTAGCTTCTGGCGTAGATTCTCTCTTTATTAATGTTTTTCTTTTTCTCTCTCTTTTTCCACTTTCTTCTTGTGCTAAGGGATCATGAGCAGAATGAAATCCTGACATACTTTCCAGCCCGAGATAGCTAGTGGTTTTACCTTCCCTAGATAAATCATCCCACACTTCTTTGGAAAACATGAATGCATTTCCCTGTGGTCCACAACATCTGAGTATCCTGTCATTATTATTAAGTGAAGGAGAGCCTTCAAAGGCTGTGGTGTCGTCCCCAGGTACTTCAGTTCGCGGTGTTAGGAGCAGGGCCTAGATCAGCACAATGTTTTGCTCACTGTTAACGCCAGACACTCAGGTCTCTAATTTCCAGCACAGCAGAGCCCACTTGAAGAAGTTCATGGTCTTACCCAGCAGTGCAAGAAATGGGCTCTTTATGGAGTATGAAATCCATTTTCCCCAAGCCTTCATTCGGACTGTGCTTTATGACATGAGAAGATGCAGTAAGTGAATAAAGCACTACATTCTTGCTGACTGATGGACAGATGATCCCAGCAGACTCTATCTGTATCTCCCCTTCCCATTGCTGTATATTTGCTGGGCTGTCAGTCTCAAAGCCAAAATTACTTGGGAACCTAGACTTTCCGAGATTTTTTCCCCTGCTCATTCCAGAGAAGGAACTGGAAGTTAACATAGGAGTGAGGGCAAAGAGAGGGAGAGATATCAGCTTTGGCACCTGTAAAGCTTAGATAAGAGGAAAAATGATGAGTGAGGAGCTTGGACTCAGCTGAACTGCAAATGCCGCACTGCAGCCAACAGAGTGGCTGCAAGAGAGCATGTACTAACTTCGCAGCAATACCAGACAGCTGGGGTGGGAAAGTGCTTACTGAATTCATTCTCTTGACATCCAGGAAGACAAAGAAAGGGAAAGTGAGGCAAGCAGGGACTAAGGGCGCTTGCCAGAGCCAGAGAGAACCAAGAATAAGACCATACTAAAGCTGTTCCCTTAGTCCCCTGCCCCTAAGCAGAACATCAAGGTTTTCTTCATGTAGGAGGGAAGCAATCATGCAAGAGACAGAAAACCCATGAGTTACTCAGTTACTGGAGCTATGGCAAGCAATTCTGGGAACAGCTGCATTTTCTCCCCTTCACTCAAAACAGAAGTTAAAACACAGGCACTTTTTTTTTTTTTTAACAGGGAGGACAACCTGCTCCAAGAGAGAGGGAGATCAATCTGTACAGAGGATCCCTGTTTCAGAGAAAATCTAAGGAGGGCAATGCAGTCTCTTCTGATTTGAAGATAACCTTCCTCTCGTGGTCATGTTCCCAGCTGGCATCACCCTGCTTGCTTTGAAAGCAGCCAAAGCAATTCACACCAGTTGGGAATCTCACCTGCTGTATTAATGGGTTTCCCTGGAGATGCTGCTTGATATGTGGTCCCCTGGCCTAGCTGCTCTGCTCTGCCCTGCTCTGCCCTGCTCTGCCCAGCATGGGATCCCAACAGCCCAGAAATCCCCTCTGTGCTGGTGAATGAGCCGATGCTCCTGCTCTGCCCAAGCATGCTGGCTAATTCTGCAGATCGCTTTGGGTTCATATTCACTCATTGTACCCCTCAGCCACCAGCTGAAATGGGCTACTGACATCTCCTAGCCTTTCATCTGACTGGTCTGCCTGCCTGCCTGTGCTCATGCTTCCCAGCCACCACTCTCCGGCATCCAACATTGCTTGCTGCCCGGACAGTGCAGCAGCACAGACAGACAGGCTCTCACCCTTTACCTCCAGTCCCAACTTCTCTCAGCTGCTTTCACCACTGAGCTTTCCTGTACTGAACTGTGAGATCCCACTGATGGGAAGAAATCAGCTTGCCAGACCCTCTCGCTAGACAGGGTATGAATGTTTCTTCCCTCTCTCCCTGAGACACAAAAATGACTTATTCTCCAACAGCATCATATATGGGTTCAAACAGTCAATAATTCCCCAACACAAATGCAAGAAAGGAGGATGAAATGCAAGAGGAAAGAAAAGAAATTAGGGGTATGGAAGGCTTCTAAAAACAAAGCCTCCAGTCTAGCATCTCAGTGGTGCAATCTTGAAGGCTACAGTGAGGTAGCAGCAGGGGGAATGGTATAAACCCCCCTCTCTTTCTGGAAATAAGAGACAATATTTGGCCAAAGTTCAGGGAAGGAAGGTCAGGGGGGAGGTGGAAAGGGAGGGGGAGAACAAGAGAGTGTACATGTGAACAAACTCCAGGCAGTTTTTCAGACCTTAGGTCTTTTTTTGCCAGCTTAACCTTCAGTCTGCAGACATGCTGGCTGGAATGTAGATGGTTCAATATGAGCGTTGTGTGGAGCACAGGCAGCAGGGCCAGATCAGTCCCTTGTGTAACTCTGCCAATTTGAGCAGGAACCGATGAGGCGCCCTGACTTCAGTGCAGCTGTGTCATGTTGAACTTATGAGGTAAGTGCATATGTGAAGGTTGCAGCTAGATCTGTTTTCCCATGGGAGAGAGCACATGGGAGTAAGATTTTTTTTTTCCTCTCTTCTTGCTTCTCCAAGAATATCCTTGAAATAGATGGAGATTTTTTGTAATAAAAAGAGGATAACTGGGCTTGCCATAAATCTCTCTGACGTATTTTCAACAATCCCTTCACCCTGGGTGGCTCAGCTTGGGGGGCATTTTTCTAAGTAGTAGCAATGGTGTATACTATTGGTGAAATAATATTTGGAGCACAGCAAAGGTAAAAGTAGGGCACCACACAAAATAATTGTTCCAGTTTCAAACAATCACCACTTGTGGCCTAATGGCTCAGCTATCAAGTAGCAGCCAGGAATGACTTCCATAGTTGCTGAAGATGATGTGGGCAGATGGGAATTGCACTGGCAGTAGCACAAATCCATCTGCAGCCTGGCCAAAAGGCAGACAGCTAGTTTCATACCTGTTTCCCTCCTACAGCTGAGAACAACTGGCTACCAGCCCAGTTCCAGGTTCAAGCCCCAGGGTGGGAAATCAGCAGACAATCAGCTGACATCTGTTGATTTGATGGGATCATGAATGCCTTCCCATATTTGCATTACCTACAATCAGACTGTGAGTTGCAATCAACAGATCGCTAATGTATTTATCTGACAAACTGGAAATCCACTGGAAAGGCTGGAGCAGGATGAGTATGGAAGAGTGAGGGCAAGAAGGATGTGGACAAACTGGAGAGTCCAGAAAAGAGCAGGAGAATGACCAGATATCTAGGACACACGAGCTACAAGGAAAGACAAAACCAGTGGGACCTGCTTAGCTTAAAAAAGACTAAAGGAGGACACAATAAAAGTGATGAAATCGTGGGCAAGGCTCCCACAAAATAAAGAAAAAGATGATTGCATCTGATTCATGACAGACAAGACAAGAAAGTATGGTCTCAAACTGCAACAGGAAAGATTCAGTTAGACCTCAGGAAGAACAGAAAGGATAATGAAGCACAAGCATAAATTGTCCTGGGAGGTGTGGAGTCTTTCAAAACAAGCTAGAGAAACAGTTATCAGGAATGACTTGGGAAGAGCTGACCCTGCCATTATGCAGGGAT